TGATGGATGAGATAAACCAAAGAATTTATATGCATGTACGGGTAACCAATGGACATAGACAATAATGCTGGTGGGGGGAGGGAGCTGGTTGGGGAGGATGGTGTCTAGGGGAGAAAGGAGAAACATCTGTAACAAAAATAAATTAATAAAAATTGATGTAAAAAATAAAAAGAAATGTTTTAAATACACAAATTTGAAATGTGTTGATATGATGAGTTTTTATATGTATGACAGTTTTTATGTTAATGAGAGTTTTATTTGGTCTAATAAAATAACTCAACTCAATCATTAATAAACACAAACACCAATCAAAAATGATTTTTTTTAAGTAAATTGGCAAGTTGGGAATGACCTTGTCTGGAGATAGCAGGTAAAATTTAGCAAAAATGACTCGTAAACTACCTTTACTCAGTCAATAATTTTCTGTATATAGAACAACATTAGCAGATTCCAGGTGTAGAAGATATATCCAGGTATGAGTTTAGCGTTAGACCCACCAATGTTTTTCTATGCAATAAAGAATATAGCTTTGTTCTACATGAGTAAGATTCCTGCAGCACTTTCTAAAGTATCATTACAGCTTGTTTTAAAGAGAGAATAGACAATGATAGTTTCTCATATAAATAATGTCAACCACAGAAAGGAAAAAAGCCTCCTTGTAATTTTATTAATTGCATCTTAAAGAACAATTCCCATCTTCTGTTTTGAACTGTGTTATATGAAATCATCCACAAATGTTTCTTGCACTAATTAACTGTACTCAAACTTGTCACACACTTTCTGAAAATTTAACACAGCTATATAATCCTATATTGGCTTTGAGATAATGCTCTCCCTTGTTTAGCTTAGTGGTATCTTCTTCTAGGTCATGGAAATGAAGATTACTGGATCATTTGATATACCGCTGTTTAACTCCATTAGAGACTCCTTTTCACTCCTCAAATTACTAAATAATGAAGCACAACCAGAAAAAAAATTAGGAAAAAAAAAAAAGCTAACAAAGTGCCTTTTTCTGTCTGACTGCTTTATACTAAGGCGTTATAGGGTTAGTTATATCTTAAAGAAGGAAAAAATAAGTATAATATATGCATGTTTCAGGGATTAGCTATAATTTGAGGAAATCTCGGTATAGTAAGTACTATGTGGTACAGAAGATTTAGCACAGTTACTTGAAATCATTTGAGTAGACTACCTGTTCATATATTTGTGTATTCTGGAAACAACACTGATGACCAGGAGCTGGACAAAAATGGTTTGGGATCCCTGCCTTAACCTGTTAACCGGGGAATTCCCTTTTTAATTATGCAGCATATAACAGGCGTGAACTCTTTCACTGGGACATGTAAATACGTTACGCCCGGAGGGCGTAATTTCATATTATTATTATTTTTTTATTTATGCTTAAAATAAATGAAAAGACTATGAAATATATATATTTTATTTATTTATATATAAAGCACAAAGGAAAATACAAGATTACAAACAAATATAAGAGAATACCAACAAAAAAATGGAAACATCGAATTAAAAAATTATAAATTTTACAATTATAAAGATTACAAAAATATATATTTTTTATTTAGATACACAATAAAAAATATAAAAAAGTTAACAATTACAGAACAATAAACAAAAGCACACAAATAAAATAGAAATATTGAGTTTAAAAAATTAAAATATATATGTAAAAATTCAAAACTCAATTTCCGTGTGATATATTTTAAAACAATTGTTGATACATAGTGAGCGCTACCTTACAATCTGGACACCAGTATGTAGATTCTTTCCTAACACCTTTTTTTGTAGCAAACTCGGCATTTTCTGGATTTAGGTTTTCCTATATCACTTTTCATTTGTTCTGGAAAATGCCTTTCAACTAAGCGTGATGGTTTAGGTGTAGAGCTGCTTGTTGATGTCTTTGGGTGGGTTTTCACTATATTGTTATCTACCAATTTCTCTACACACTCTATCAAAAAGTGTAATCGATCCAAATGACCTTTATCTTTTTTGTATATAATATATGCACTGAAGCAGCACATATCAATTAATCGTAGAAAAGTTTTTTTTATAAAATTTTTTTAGCCTATTACGGGCAGCCATGTAGGCTACCATAACTCCATCTCCCAAACCTACGCTGCCCATATTCTTGTTATAATCCAGGACAACATTTGGTGTTTCTTGCCTTCTTCCTCTCTTTTCAATCATTGTCTTTTCGTCATTATGAATAGAACTGAGCATTAATACGTATTTTTTATCCTTCCATTTTAAAACCATAAGTTTGTCTTTGAATCTTATTATACGTTCATTTTTCTGTTTTTATTTCACTGGGGATTCTTACTCTGTTTATCCTCATTGTTCCAACAATGTCTGTATTGTTTTGACACAAGAGTTCAGCCAAATGAATTGACGTATAGAAATTATCTAAGTAAATCCTATACCCTTTATTCAGTAAGTCATGTGTTAACTCCAAAACAATTCTTGTTGATTGTTTTTCTTGTGGGTAGTTCGAACCATAATTTGTGTCCTTGCCTGTGTATACAATTATATTTTGTATGTATCCAGATTGGCTTTCACTCAAAATAGACAACTTAATTCCAAATCTAGCTCTTTTTGTAGATATATATTGTTTCCTAGATAAATTCCCTTTCCATAATGAAAGAGATTCATCTACGCATATTTCTCGTTCACATACATAAAAACTTTTAAACTTCTCTGACAAATTATTGATGATTGGATCAATTTTATATGTTTTTCTATTAAATGTGTTAGGACCAAAACTTAGATTGTCTGAAAAATGCAAAAACTTACATAATAATCCAAACCTGCTTTCGCTCATAGTTTCATAAAAAATGGTGTTTCAATTCTTCTTCTTCTTGAAAAATAAAGTCCAAAAGCTGGTTTTCCAATTATTCCTTGTAAAATTAGGAGCCCCCCAAAAATCTTCATTTCAGCTTTATTTGCATCCTTCCATTTTTGAATTCTCGAACGTGGTTTCAACTCAGGATCATTATCAAAAAATTGGGTGGCGTACAAATTTGTTTGCTCTGCGATTAATTTGATAAGTTCCTCATCTAAAAACTTCTCAAGATAAAACAAAGGAACTTTTTTTGGAGGAGTATCAAAAGTTTTTCCATGATGTGCAGTAAAGGAAATGGTGGTCTTCTGCATTTTGAGGTAGCCATTCTTCAGAAACAATGCTGTTGCTAGGACCAAATTCATCAGCTTCTTCACCATCTTCATTCTCAGTATCGCTCAATTCCATGCCGTAGTCAAAATTACTGTCAGATGACTCCGATGACGAACTCATAATACGTCTCCTTTTTCTACCTGCCGGTACATTGATTTCATCATCGCTGATATTGCTTTCATTCATTTTGATGGATACTTATAAAAATGTATTCTAAAATAAAAAGGTTGTAAATATAAAAAATATAAGTAAATAGTATATAATACAAAAATAGGTAGATAAGTGTAAGTATGTACCGTCACTGCTCACCCAGAACATGGCCACCACTCTCAATAGCGAAATGATACCGATTCCCTCCGTGTCTTAAATTCATGTCGAGACATGTATGGATGACTAATACCTTTGTTGTTCCAAAATATACCTGCTGCCCTTTCCAGGGCGCAACATATATTTCAAGGACGTATTCATATGTCCTACCCGTACCCGATATTGTTTACGTTTGACATATTTATACGTCCCCCTTGGTTAAAAGATTAATATGGAATGATGAGGTAGCCAAATGTTTCAGGCTTTGCAAACTTGCCAAAATTTGAAAATAAATTCCAACTAAAATAATCATTTTGCCCCAAAAATATTGCACACATTTATCAAAATGATGTTTGTTTGCTCTTAGTGGGAAAACCCATGTGAGATAATTAGTATTTCTATTTTAAATAGATATATCTTTCATTAATCAAAATCAGAAAATACATTAATAATCAATATATGTAATATGATTGTATTTCACAAGATAGGAGTGAAGACAACAAAAAATGTCATTTGAGGGTAAAATTTTGAGAACTATAGGGATAACATGGGACTAATGGTGTCTCACTGTCCAGTTTTACTTTGAACTGAATTATGGCCTTACATATGGTTTAAATGTCCTTAAGTATTACTTCAGATATTGATATAAATCTCACGATAATTCATTGACATGTTCAAAATGGAATCCTGTGACTTCTCATGTTATTCTTACCTGTGTACCCATTACAGGTCTACTCTAAAAAATTGTACTGTATATGGCATATCCCCTCCAAATGGCAGAAAATAAGACTTTGTTATCTTAGTATAAGTGCTCTAGAACATGCATGGCTTTTATTTTTTTTTTTTTATCATTGGAGAATATTTTTTTTTCCAATTTTTTCAGAGAGATTGAAAGAGAGATAGTGAGAGATGGGGGGAGAGAGAAATGCCGATGTGAGAGAGACACATCGATTGGTTGCCTCCTGCACACATCCTGACCAGAGCATCGCCACTCAGCTCCACTGGCCAGGCCACGCATGACTTTTTAGGTACCTGTAAGAGTCAACAAAGTGCATTGTTTTATATGCTGTATTGTCATGTAGTTTACCTTTATTTAATAGAGTTTCTCAAATGTGCCTTTCAAATGTTCTGAGATGTTGTCCAGCCAATTTTGCATTATCAGGATTCGTGAGAGAAAATTAAACTTATTTACTGGACTTGGACTAATGTATGTCTTCTGTGAGGACAGTTACTTTTTTTAAATAAAAGGAATATTTTTCATTTCCAAGATGATAGCAAAGCTCCATTAGCTTGTCATGGGGCCCCATTCATTGGACTTGTTAGGGTGCGGATGTTGTGGTCCAGCCAAGTTGGGAAAATGGGAAGAGCGGAGGAGAAAGGGCTGCAGTGCTCCGGTGGGGTTGGCGTGGCCTCGAGGATTGCAGAAGATTTATGAACTAAAAAACTGGTGTTGTTTGAATAGCCATTTTTGAAATGATGAAAATTTTGTAATTTTCACTTTTTCCAGATAATTCGCTCAGTATTTTGGCAAAGCATAATGGATTCAACCGCCAGAAGCAAGAAGTGTATCTTTTACCAATCATAATCAGTGATAGTGGGAATCCTCCTCTGAGCAGCACCAGCACGCTGACCATCCGGGTCTGTGGCTGCAGCAGAGATGGTGTTGTCCAGTCTTGTAATGTGGAAGCTTATGTCCTTCCAATTGGACTCAGCATGGGCGCCTTAATTGCCATTTTAGCATGCATCATTTTGCTGCTAGGTACGTATTTCCTTCATAGCCTAATTGTCACCATTATTTTCTTGGGGGGGTTCATAAAGGGCTGTAAATAGGGACAGCAAACCCTGACCAAGCCAGGCATGAGCATTTTTGTTCTTTTTGTTTTTTGGAAAGAGTAACTGTCTTATACTTCTCCAAGCTTTGAGATCACTAAGAAGGGGTGAAGAGAATGTAATGGTAAATGTCCAATTGGAGAGGTTTGGGTGCCTTTTCAATCCCATCACCAGTGAAAAAATAGACTAAGCACAGTGGTGGTAGCAGCGGGACTGGGCCTGTATGTGGTTACAACAGCATCCATTATAAAGAAGACCTCCAGATCTGACGTACACCTCTTTACTACAATAAAGGCTCACATATGTCCAAAGTACTCTTTTATCCAAACAGTGTATAGATTGGGTTGCGGAGTCCATCTTATCACAAAGTTTGGTGAAATAAAAAGAAAATAAACAGGCAAACAAAACGTCTATTTTCTTCAAAATTGCATTGTCTTCCTGAGATATGTTTCTTGATAATAAAATCAAATAGTATTCACTCAAAATTTAATGCTCATCCTTCAGAAAGGTGTTTTGCTTAATTCCCAAGGCAATGTTATTAAAGCTAAGTGCTCATAAGTTTTAAAAGAATGATCCTCTCTCTGAACCTACATGGTGTGTTGCTTATAAAATTATATGCAAGTTTGGCTAATTGTTATTTCATGGTTTCTTTCTACAGTCATTGTGGTGCTGTTTGTAACTCTGCGGCGACATAAAAATGAACCATTAATTATCAAAGATGATGAAGACGTACGAGAAAACATAATTCGTTACGATGATGAGGGAGGAGGGGAAGAAGATACGGAGGCCTTTGATATTGCAACTTTACAAAACCCAGATGGAATTAATGGGTTTTTACCCCGTAAGGATATTAAACCAGATTTGCAGTTCATGCCAAGGCAAGGGCTTGCTCCAGTTCCCAATGGTGTTGACGTGGATGAATTTATAAATGTGCGGCTACACGAGGCAGATAATGACCCCACAGCCCCACCATATGACTCCATTCAGATTTATGGCTATGAAGGCCGAGGGTCTGTGGCTGGCTCCCTCAGTTCCTTGGAGTCTACCACCTCAGACTCAGACCAGAATTTTGACTACCTCAGTGACTGGGGTCCCCGTTTTAAGAGACTGGGTGAACTTTACTCTGTTGGTGAAAGTGACAAAGAAACTTGACAGTGGATTATTAATAAACCAATGGAACTGAGCATTCTGTAATATTCTAGGGTCACTCCCCTTAGATACAACCAATGTGGCTGTTTGTTTTAGAGGCAAGTTTAGCACCAATCATCTATAAACTCAACTACATTTTAATGTTGAACCAAAAAAATTGATAATAAAAAGTACATGTTAGGAGGTTATAAATCTTGTGGAGTGTGAATTAAACTATGTGGAGTGTCTAGAAGTCTTTGAATATTTGATACTTACCTGACCACCACAGACAAAGATTGGGATCCTGGTTAATGCTTAGAAAAAGGTAGAGTAAAAAGAGGGGAAAAAAATCCAAATTAAAAGGTGCTTTCTTAGAAAAACAGACCTGCAAGGAATTTGCTGCTGATATGTGTCTTCTGCAAGGATTTTTATAAATGCAAATGGGTTTTTTCCCCTTCACCAATAAGGATCCCGCCACACATGATAAAGCAATACTTGGTCGGCTGTACATTCTGACTGTTGGAGTTTGGGAAGGCCTCCTAGATTGCACGGTACGGTGACCACACATTGTACATAATTGTTGGCCTCACTCATCAGAGACTGAATAGCATCTTTAAATATTGTGTCGAGCCTTAAAATATTCACGTTTGTAATCCGTTCCAAGGTGGGGATTGCCAATTAGGTGGTAGGAGAAGAGAAATCCCATTGAACAGGCTTGTTTTTTAAAAGCAGGATTACTCCTTCCCTCCACTTCCTCTTGTTCTACAAAGACACAAAGATAAACTATGTCATGCAGTGGACTACATAAGAGACAGATGGTTTTATTTGTTTAATCTTCGAAATAAATATTTTATTGATGTCCATTAATGCTTTTATTTATTAAGGTTGGTAATCTATAGATTAGGGGACTATATGGAAGAAAACCTAAATTATATCCATTAATAATCCTTTAGATTGTTTTCTATAAATATATATATATATATACACACACACACACACAATGAATGTTTAATACATGTACATTTTGATGAGATGAGTATGGCAGGCAATATTATGAAAAAGGAGCTAATAGTCTCTTTAGTGTAGAAAGTGTTATTGTGACTGGTGATGGCAAGAACAGCATTTTTCCAGAGAAACTTTTGGACTGTTTTCTATTTTGTTCATAATCCTAGTATTTGGTGTTTTTACTACAAGCACAAACATCTGAAAGTATATTGATTCATGTGAATATTTAAACTCTAGACTTTTAGATATCTACATAATGCCCTGCCCAATAAACATGCTTCAAGTTGTACCCAATGTTTTAGAGCAGGAACTGATTTGTACATAATTTTACTGCTTCTGTTTTTAGCTCTTCTCTCCTTGACCCTCATGGTGATACACAGAACATCTTAGAGTCCAAAAGAGAACAACCCTAGAAGATGTGAGCATATTTAATTTGTAATACAAACCTGGCATTTAGGAGTAGAAAATGTATGATAAGACTGAACTACTACATGCAGATCATTTTAATTTTCTACTTTGCTTTAATGCAATATTGTTTATTTACTCCATGTATTGTATTCAGAGAAACTCCTGTATTGTTTCCTACTTTGTGAAATATATTTTTATAAATACTTTTGTTGTCTTTACTTTTCTTTTCCCCAGTCAGATAAAGACCTACTAACAGAGTCTTCAAGTCTGACTAGAATTCTAAAACATTCAGCTAAATTATTGCAAGAATCACTTTTATTTGTAAGAGTTTTTATATAAAGAACCAGGGATGGGAAATGGCTTGGCAATGATGCCAACGGGGATATTAAAGGAACATGGTGTATGGAAAGTCTAGTTCAGCTGTGACAATGGGATTCTCCTGGAAGCAGACACTAAAGCAGAGTTAAGAGTTAAAGATTTAAAAAAGAGGAGAAGCAGGATTGTACAGGGAAAGCCTTCAAACAGGAAAATATAATGTAAAAAATGTCAAAATAAAGAGATAGAAAGCAGAGTTTGTCAAGAGAGCCTTAGACTGAAATACAGGCCTGACAAATCTCTGCCAACCAACTAGGGGGTTCTGAATGAAAGATGGCCTGTTGTCGAAGTCTTTTACTGGTCAAGTGAAGTCTCTCAGTGGTAGTTTCCCTACCATCTCAGGCATTGGCTTGGGCTGTCTGAGAGGAACATGACTTTGGCTAGGAAACTGAAGGTACCAACTTTTGGAAGCTGCTTCTACTGTGATGACAACAAAATATTTTAATGTTACACTTAGAATTTACAACTATCAGTGAATTAATTAAGGCCTTACTGAGTCTCTGTTGCTTGAGAATTGTTCATGGTTTGTCTTTTATGCTTATCACTATGACTGTTGAACGCTTACACATTCTAAACCAAGGTGAGAGTGTTATTTGAATTATCTCTTGCATACCAGACTCACTTCTAGTATATTTATCAGTGAAGTGCCATAGATAACAGATATATAAACATGCTTAACAAAAATTACACTAATTTTAGGAATATCAAATCCATATCCTCCAATCTTGGAAATCAATAGGATAATTGCCATATGGTGCCCAAACTTTATCACAAAATTTACTTTGCCTGTGAAAATAGCATGAAAGTATGGATCTCTTGCTGATTTTTTTTTTTTTTTTTTTTTTTTACCATCATCATGCTAGCAATTTGTGCTTAAAACCCCATTTAAGGTGTTATAATATGGAATTAAGAAATAATGGTCTTTCATTGGTCAAAAATTGGCAGTAGTCCCCCTACCATCTCATGTTTATATTACGGCTGAACTATATTTTTAGAGTATCCTGAATTTAAATAAAGGTCCAAGAAACACACACACACATACACCCCTTGACTTAACTGCTTTTTACTTTAGCAATAGACTTGCCAGGATTTCCTCAACCAAAAAAGGTCACTGGGGGTCCCAAACTTTTAGAATTTGAGAACCCCATGCTCAACTATTTTTAAATAATACATATTTTTAACTTTATCAAAGTGACTATTTTTTTCTATGTGTATTGTTTTCTGTTGCAGCAATATACTGACAGTTCTTACACATGTGTGGTTATTTTTCAAATAAAAGGTTTATTCAATCCATTGACATTTTAATGTCTAAGGGTTTTTACTGTGTCTCAACCATTAGTCTTTTTCCAATTTTGAAACTTTTCCCTTCCCAATGATTTTCTACCAAATGGAGAAGAACCGCTGAGCTGGAGCCAAGTGAAACAAAATTATCCTCATCTGCCTATCTCACAATTTGGAGCTCCTGTCTGGGGAGATGATGCATCCTGGTGATTGGACATCACATGGGATCAATTCAGCCTCGACCCTGTCCACTAACTGATCAAATAAACTTACAAAAATGTCTTCTAAACACCCATATACGTATAGTCTGGAGTATAACGAGCCTATTCTTTACAATAATCTGATGAGTACAGTTATTTGAAGATTAAAAATAGTTTATAATAGGATGTTTAAAATATGCTAGAAATTAAATTCAAGTATTAATCTTGCCATACAGGATTATGATTTCTAGGATATGAACAATGAAAATGTTTTAGGAAACTATGTATGGGTAAGTGTGTGTATACAAAATAAAAGAAAACTTAGATTCACTGGCATCACCAGTGAGACAAGAATGCTTAGAAAGGGCCAAATGTGTCTTTGGGAGAGTTTGTTTAATCAGATGCTTAAAGTAAGAAAAGTCTCTGCATGAGACCTGGAAATCTCCTAGGAGCAGCCAGATTTCACACTGAGTCTCAATAGAGTTCTGGGCTATGCTGTATTTTGGAGAAGGAAATGTGGGTGCTGAGAGCTAAGTAGCCAATTACTCTTTATAGCCGCATAAGGACTGAAGGCAAGCAGGCCCTTCCAACAAGTTGTATTATGCGATCACTGGCTTTGCAGGGAATCTCACAAATGTATAACCTTCTGATTGCCTTTTTGATCGAAAGTTCCATCTGAGATCAGGGCAGTACAAGCAGTAATAAGATTTCAAAAATTCCCATCACTGGCACTGTAGGAAAGGCTGAGCATGACTGAAATCCCATTACTGTCAGGGAAAAAGATAAGGTAACAGTGAGCATCACTATAAAAGCCATATAAATGCACAATTTGAACAGGAACATTAACATTGGAAAAAATATATATGTGTACACACACATATATCTCTTTATGTATACACTTACACCCAAGTAAGTGACCTAGGATTAATTTATATTTGTAATTTTTTGTCTCACCACCTCACATACTACCCAAAACCTGGAATGGTGGCTATTTGTTTTTCTCACTCTAACCTTGACTTTGAAGGACATTGGATTGAAGGTAAAGGGTTTAAATGCAGGTTTCTATTTGAGAACAAAATAATGGCTCATGATAGCTGGGATTAGAATTAAATGTATCACATTGTGAAACTGAATTTAGATGTTTTTATGTTCTTGTGTTTTTGTGAAGAAAATAATTATAGAATGTATTTTGCAGGGAGTAGTTTTCAGCATGTTTTTGTTTTTCTCAATTACAGTATTGTTTTATTTTCTGTAGAAAGTTTCTTTACAAAGTGACTCAGTTGGCCAGCCACTTTGTATATATTGTCAATGCAATCACTGTTCTTTATGATTGTAGAAGACAGGGATTCTATCATAAGCAGACACTTATTTTTATTATTTTCTTCTTAGTCAACACACATTTATATATCACATGGTATACTGTCTTTTACATGAATATACTCTTGATGTTAAAGATACATTAATACAAGTATTTTTGACCCAGTTCTACTATTATGGGTTCATGCAATTTAATACCCCCCAGACTGATGGGTTATCTAAAAGGAAACAATTGTGTCTCCTATATATATTGAGCATCAACCAGTTCAGAAATTATTCTATAGAGTTAGATGGAAAGATTAAATGAGATGGCATCCCCAAACCTATTTCCTTTATTTATAAGATGGAACTAATAACTCTCATCTAAAACTAATTGTTGAAACATTTTGTCTCAATGGTCCCATAAATAGTATTTCAATCTAGGGTCAAACTTACGTTGGTCTGATATTAAAGCTCAGCTTGTGACTAAACACTCTAATTATTATGTGAGATTTGTAATGATAAGAATCAGAGGTTGCCCTGATCAGTATGGATCAGTTGGTTGGGCATTGTCCTGTGCACCAAAAGGTGCCAGTTCATTTCCCGATCAGGGCATATGCCCAGGTTGTGGGCTTGATCCCTGGTAGAGGACATGAAGGAGGCAGCCGATGGATGTTTTGCTCTCTTGCTCTCTCTCTAAAAATCAATTTTAAAATCCTTAAAAAAAA